AAGACCTTATTTCCATAACCACACCATGCCAGTTTAGAAGACATGCGTATTGGAACTAAAGTTGATGGGCTGATGCATTGTAGTGCTGGGCAGTGTATCATCTTTACCAGAATCGGTGTCTTACCATAGATAGATAAAGAACACCTACATAAAAAATAAAACAATACTATGACATTTGGTGTAATTTTAAGAGATACAGAACAGAACATGGATGAAAATAGATGAATGATGGATGAAATAGTTTTTGTCGTATTGCAAATATTTGCTTTCAATTAGAACTGCAACTAACAACTATTTTCATAATCGATTAGGTGGTCCATTATGACTTCAATTAGTCGATTAGTTAGGTGCTGATATCCTGCAGGTATTAGTCTGGCAATAATGTTTCATTCAACAGATTAAAAATACAGTTTATTCTTCCTTTATAAACAACTTTAAAAACGTACCATATTTTCTGAAAAGGGCCTTCATCAAAGGCACAGCAACAGGTGCAGAAACAATAAAGGAACAATACAAACTAATTTTACATGGCAGTTCAAGATAAGCTGCTTCTCTCTATTTCTCCTTTAATGATAAATAAAAAATTAGTCAAATAGCCCCTGTGTTGTCGATAACAACATGTAGTCCAGATAACTGTCTGATATGGGGACCTAAAGCAGCTCATCACATATAAAACAGCAATAACCATGCACCTGATTGTTTTCGCATGAACCTGGAGAAAGAACTGAAAACATCTTGTCCGTATGAAAAAGGGATTTTTTTGATTTATGAAAGACCCTGAGCTTCTGCATATATAACCTTTGTATTATATATATATATATATATAAGTACTGTTCTCTTTCAACCAGGTGATGTAAATGAGAAGCACAGATGTCATTGAGCCTAATTGGTAACTTGATTCATTGCCAAGTTTTTTTATTGCCAGTGTTATCTATAAAGTGAATTAGTTTTTGCAGCTCTACTTTGATTATGGTATAACTTGTAGTTTACTCCTATTTTTAGTATACAAATAAGAGAAGATCAAGATATGTGTTTCATTTTAATGATGGAAAAAATATTCAGATAATAATAATAATAATATTATTATTATTATTATTATTTTACTTATTATCATTACTGTTTATTATTATTATTATTTTTTTTATATACTTTTCAATCAAACTTGAAATAGTTTGATTAAGGTAACAGAAAACAGAAAATCAGCACTGTTAAACAATTATTGTCGTAGCAAGAAGCACAAAATACTAATCCAGGGGGAAGCCCTGATGAGGTTGCCGAGACTGTGAACATTTCAGTGTTGAGTAGTGCGGGAGAGCAGAGAAAACAGCTTATTTTTAACCACAGTCTTGGTTAAAAAGTCCAAAACACAAAACAATTGTTGGTTACTTTTTGTTAGTGAGCGAGGCAGTGACCATGTTTTAGAATCTTTATAAATTCTCCACATTTTTTAAGCAGCTCAAAAAGTGATTTATATACAAGTCAGCTGCGTCTGTCTAATTGCCCTGTGCAGTTTTAATTATTTTTTTCTGCTCTGCATGCGAGCAAGCTGTTGTTTATCCTCAGAAATAAAAGAATGTGGACTGCACCCGGCGATTAAAACCAACATTATCACCTGAAATTAGAGCTCTTGTACAGGCAGTTAGGAACGGACAGTCCTACTTTTGCTCCATAAATATCAGAGAGGCTTTAGCAGGAAAGGGCCATTTGAATGCCATGAAAAAAGGCTAAACATAAATCACTGTTTTTGACTGAAACTGGCTGATGTACGGGCAGATTATCTTGCTCTCTTTAGAGGTGCTAGCACTGTGCACTGCCGGTGACTAACTTGCATTTAGATTGATAAACAAAACTTTGTTTCCCATTGGATGGGTAAAAACCAATGCGCGGAAGCATGTGGTTTTCATAAAAATGGATAAAAGTATCAGTTATTTGTTTTCAAATATTTTAATTATCAAATTTGTCTAATTTTGTTGAAAATTTGTTGCAGCCTTGGTATAAACCTACCATGATCACCCTGGCACAGTGTTGGTCGCATGCCAACCATGGTGGTGGTCCTGTCACACCCATAACGCTATATTTCTGTTTTTTTTATTTTGTTTTAACAGCAGCTTATCTGATTGAAGCACATTGTTTAACCAGAAGCAGTAACCATGCTTCTTCTACATTGCACCTGCTCGCAGGTCTCTCCTGTGTTATTAATGCACCCCTGGCAGTGCTACAGTCAAAATGCCTGGTTATGCATATACAAAATACAAAATGCCTGTTGTCAGGTCCATTTTTTGCTGCTTGCCACAAGTTACATGCTACTAGAACTATTTATTAAATACCTCCACAGTATTTGTTTACTGGTGTTAAAAAGCATTGCAGAAACACTTTGCCACGACTGTTGCGTCTGATGTAAAACAAGCTTACATTGTCTTAATTTGTGCTTTTATATTTTGTGTTGTTATACCAGTGATCTCCAACTCTGGTCTTGGAGAGCTACCTTCCTGCAGAGTTTAGTTCCAACCTGTATCCAGTAGCTGCACAGCCAATCAGGAAAGAGATTGATTAGCCGCAGCAGGTGTGGCAACTTGTGGTTGAACTAGGCTCTATAGGAATGTAGCCGTCCAGGATCGGAGACCCTTGAGTTATACACTGCATGTCCTAGGCTAGCAAAAGTTGAACTAAGGTAGCTTAATACAGAGATATGGGCCTATTCACTACCCTCCTCCACCCCCAACCCCCAGCGCGTTGGGCACTAGTATCTCGTATCATGGTAGTAAGGCACCCAAACACTGGGGTGTTGAAAATTTGCCACCACAACAGTCCCACGAGTGTATTAACTCCACCTCCATTCATGCTTTCATTCTAGATCCACAGTGATGCTCTATTGCTGAAGTAAGGCATATTAAAGAATTCATGGCCTTGCTCGAAGGATCTATTGCTCTGCTGCAATACATGAGTGCAGAGCTAGCGCAAACATGCAGTTGCACAGCTCACAGGGAGTTGAATGGGAAAACGTTGGCGCGGTGTATTGATTTGCAGCTGGCCGTGAGCAAGTGGAGTCAGAATATGTGGTTATGTAATTGTTTGAGGCTGTAAACTGCTCACTGTCCAATACAGTAGAAGTCCTTAGATAAACATTTACTTTTGGCCTAAACAGCATAAGTTAACTTGACTTCTTCATTGTGTCACTTTGCTTTCCTTCAGTGATACGAGAGCAATTCCGATTGAAAGCAGCTGCATTTTGTTTTAAAGTTTACTTAAGAAATGCAGTGCTTAATGTCATAACCTAATATTATATGACATTTCCCTTGAAAGGCACACTGTACATAAATTAGCAGCAATCTAAACTATTTGTCAGTCTCTTTCTACTTCCATGCTCACCGTAGTATAAGTACAAAAATGTATTTGTGGCATTGAAAGACATCTGAAAGTCAGAGAGGGAGGAGAGGAAAGCGAAATGATTTGCAATGCTGTGAGGTTGGACCAAATTCCAGGCGTAGTTACAAAAGCAAACCAGTTTGGTTGCCTGCCAGCATCGAGCCTGCCGTCCCCCTTCATAAATAGTGTCATCTTTCCTCTGACCATTCCAGACTGCCTGTGACCTGAATTTAGGTCAGACTTGTTCAACCCACCTCGTCACTTGTGTCGAACAAGAACATTCTATATGAACAAGAGCCAAAATGGAGTTTTAGTGTTAGAATATCCTCAACCTGAAACTGTTATACCCTTTTGTTGTGATATTCTTGTCAGTCAGAGTGAGGATTACTGCTGTGATGTGGTGAAAGTCTTTATCTTTCTCTGCCCTAAATATCTTGTCAGCTGGCTGATAGATGGCTTAATGTGTGCCTTCAGATGGAGCTAAATATGGGTGTCAATGTAAGGCATTTAGGGTCAACGATGCCGCAAGCTTGACAGTACACATGACAGTGTGTCTGGGACTGTACTTGTCACGAAGCAACATCAAAGTGGTTGTCTGGGACAGATTGAATTACATATTGAGTGCAAAATGGGCTGCGTAGCTGTTGATCATGCTATGCATTAAGTAGCTTTGTTACATCATGCTGACAATAGTAGTAGTAAGCTATCTAAAGTTTAGGCGGGCAACTTTTTTGCGTCAAATAATTCTGGACCAATTGAAAATATGCCAATGTATTATGTAGTTTTTGACCTTGGCTTACCCATGGAGCCTCACAAAAGCTATAGGAGAGCAGTAGGCCTGTTTTAACCAATAATATCTGTCTGCAGAGCCGCAGAGCCACAGTTTCACACCAGCAGTTCCACTCCAGCAGGTTCAGGCCAGTGGCATTCAGCGCATGCATCAACACTTGTTTTGGTTCTTCTTAGTGAGTGATAAAGTGATATTTGTGATAAATTTGCGTTGGGCTAACATTATATTTTAAGCTTTAGACTAAAACAAATGAGATTCACAGGGTAAATATTACACAAATTACAGCTTATGTAGCCTGAGTAAGCTAATATAGGGGCTTTATGTGTACACGTACATTACATGTGCAGGAATAAAACTTTTTTTACCTCAAGCAGGCTTAAACTGAGCGTAGTATTAAGCTTTAGGCTGCAAACATTAGTTTCCCTGCTGAAAAAAACATAGAAACCATGAAGTGTTTGGTTTCTGATGGTTTTGTAATGTGTTTTGGCCAGTGGCCAATGGTTGATTCATATATTAGCAACAATATCCTTTCATGAATGCTATTATGCATGGCAACACATACAAACAGCACAAACAGTCACTGTTTACATCAGAGACGTTCAACTGGCCACTGGATGAAACATAAATGGGACGCTCGTAATGTTCAACTTATCAGCCCACAGTTCTTATGTAAGTGTAACCCTTCTTTAAATGATAGTTATCAAGTGAATCATTTGGTTATTGTTTGAAAAGTGCTTTCAAATGTGCTTTCAATTGACAGAAGTTCTAATACTCAGTACATAGGTGGAGTTTTAAAAACAGATGAGCTTTGGTCCAGTTTGATCTTGAAATTCATGTTGTTCAGGTGTTTTTGTTTGCATTGCAGCTCTGATCAAAGGTCGGACGCCAGCAGTTCTAGCTCCTCTGGCCCGGCCCGACCTGGCGGCCCAACCCACAAGATCTGTCTGGTGTGTTCAGATGAGGCATCAGGATGCCATTATGGGGTCCTTACCTGCGGCAGCTGCAAGGTCTTCTTCAAAAGAGCTGTGGAGGGTGAGCATGCAGGAATCCCACATAAAACCCACACTGTGTGAAAACTCCTCCTCTGACTAAAGGCTTAAACTCACTGAATTCTGGGGTATGAGGCGTGCAGCCAGTTATATTATATTATATTAAATGAGTCTCATTTTTATTTTCTATTTAATTATTATGTTTAAGAATAGTATGAACACAAAAGGAGATTCAAGCAAAGCAGTTTTTTTGTTTTTACACTTAATCAAGGGGTCTGTTTACTGTTAGTCTGCATTACACAGTCAGATGCTCCTATTAAAGTTTAACAAAAGGATGATTAAATCAGCAATCATAATGAAAAGGATATTAACTCAAATGAATTTGAAGAAAGATATACATGCTACACTGAGTTTGTAGGGTGTTTTTCCTATGAATGCCAATATTTTTGAAAATGTAGGTTATTTTTTGATCTTTAGGAAATGAATTGAAGTGCATTTTTTAGGCTAAGCCGCTCAATCCCCTCCACCTACTTGCATGCAGTGAGTTTTGGCCACGGGTCAAGCAAGGCATCAGCTTGTGCATGACGTTTTCTCGCTTCTCATCTTTCGACAAAATAAAACCAGTTCAAAGCTGTGGTTTCTGCTTTGTAGAGGTATGGAATGGGTCTTCAGAGGACAGTGGTAAAGACACTCCCCCTCCTTTTTTATTTCCTCAAATAACTTTTTTTCCTGGACCTTTTCTCCTCTCTGCTTTTGTGAGATATCTCTGAAAAAAAAAATCAAAATGATCCATTGCAGTTGTGCTTTAGAGCTTCTTCCCCATCAGTCACTTTCTCCCTCACCTGGCAGTATTTACAGATAGATGGCCCTGTTTGTTTTGGCCGCTTGCCCAATAAAGAGCAGCCATTGCTTTCTGTCAGAGTGCAGCTCCCTGCGAGGAAGTTAACCTTGAGATGAAGGATTTCTAAGCCGCTGGACTGTTGAGTGCAGCTTGGCACAGCGGCAACCACTCATAAGCTCCAGGGATTGAAGAGGTGCCGCTCTGGCACTGAGATTCGTCGTAAGATTTGTACTGAAGCTGAATGGGAGCTGGATTATATCAGTCTGCTTCTGAGAAACTTTGGTTTAAGTGGGATACTGTGATCTAAGCTGGCTTTGCCTTACCGATTGCTTGGCTTAATTTCATGTCAATTCAGTGAGTTAAAGAAATACCTCAGCATTTTTCAGCCTAATCTTATCCTGCTATCCTTAGCTTAGTGTCAGTTCACATGGACAACGACACCTTTCCATAATCATTTAGGTGAAACAGTTTTGTAGAATACTTTCATGAGCTCTACCATCCGTGGTGTTTTATAAATTAACCTGCTGAGTTGCTAAGGTGTTTAGAAGTTCTCTTGTGTCTGTCACATCCTTAGACCTACATTGTTAGAGTTTAAATATTCATTCACATATTTCGGCAACTTGGGTTTTTAGCACATTGAAATGAAAAATAAGTTTCAAGTTATGAAACGTTAACAACATCTAGTTAAAAAGGGCCATTGCTGTGCACATCTGTGATGAATGTTTTTTTTTTTCCCACCATTGTTACCCCCAGTTTAGTTATGGCCAATTCCCACTCGCTAGTTACGTTTCCCCCTATCACATGATTCTACCAAGCTAGATATGAATGTGAAACCAGCCAGTGCATCTTTTCGACATCATCAAACAGCCCAACACACTTGGAGGAGAATGTTAACTGCCAACACGGGCACCCGCATTAGCTAGCACCTGGAATGACAGGGGGTGAGGGAGGGCCATCCTGCCCACCCAGAGCAAGGCCAGTTGTGCTCTCTTAGACTAATGGCCAGGAATCGACCTCACAAACTTTTGATAACAGGGGCCAATACTTAGATGGTTGTGCCGCGTGGGAGAGCCCAGTCTTGTTTTTTTTTTTGTGAACGTAACCCCAGACGTACCTGTTACCTCATCTGGTGTTATTTTGTCAATGATGATATGTGCAGAACTGGTAAACATGCAGGCAGGCCTGAATTTGCATTGCTGAAATGTAAATGAAAGGCTGTCACAAATCAGAGATTGAGCGACCAGTTTATCAAGTAAAAACACAGTGTTGAAGACAAAAATAACAGATATGAATGAAAGAAGTACATGTAAACACAACTGTTGTAACAAATTCATAATGAGGTATGTAGCGCGGAATTTAACCGCCGCTTCTAGCTCTCTGCAGGTTGTTGTTGATGTGTGCTACATGCCTCAAGCTGTGTTGCACTGAGACGTTTATATCTGTTATTTTTGTTTCTCTCTCCCATTTCTACGGTTGTTCTGGCAATGGTGAAGGATGGAGAGCACGACAAAACACAGATGGTAAATAAACTTACCTTTAATAATGTTTCTGCTTCCGGTTATGCCCTGCCCTCAATCATCCCCTTTTGAAATCACCTCAAATTGTATATCTACTGTTCTGCTTCAGTATGCATGTATTTTAGGGTTTGTTTTATTAATGATTCACGCAGTACTTTTGTATTGAGCAGAGGAGTTATCCTCCATTACTGTATCACTGTAATGAATCAGTGAATCAATAGAAGGAAGTGGGTGTAAACATCAAGGGGCTTATTAACACTACTAATGGTCACTTGCAAGCTTGCGTTTATGAGAAACTCTGAACTCACCAATCTCCAACGGTATCTGAGGCTGTTTGCCTACCCGTGCAACTGTTGCGGCTTGTAAGTTTGAAAACGGTCTGGTGGTTAAAACGTTTTTCAGTTGGGCAGGGGTGAGTCAAGCCTGACAGAACAGGTTTAAGCAAGGCAATAGTAATTTGCACCTGGAGGTGAAGGGGTGGGGTGAAGCCGAGCAAGGTAAGGCTGAACTGTCTTGTCTTTCTTTTGACCTACTCAGTTTGGTTTAATTGCTCTAGTTTTGCTTCATGTGGATGTTCTAGAAAAACTACGTGTGTCTCTATGACTCTGAGACTGAATATGATAATTATGAATTGCAAACAGACCTGACATCAAACTTATGCTCTTTAATTGCACAAGAAAGTAGAACTGCTTTAGAAAGTCATGATTAGTTTTACTCAAATCTAATTTACCCAGTTCTCCACTTAGCCCAAATAGCCATGTGCCAGTATTTGATAATATTGTAATATACCACAACTTTAAACATGCACTGTATTATATCATGGACACGTTAAAATGTTGTATTTTAGTCAGTTAAGTTGGAGTTTCACCAGAAATGTTTAGATACTCAGATCATCTCTTCGTTTGAGTTTTGGATTTTCAACTCAAGTCTTAGCTGCAGATAGTCCTGTTAATCATACACACAGTGAGCATCACTACGTGGAGGTTTTTTATTTATATTTTTAAAATTGTCTTATTTTACATCTTGTACATGTATAATGACCAAAACAGTACTGATATTTAAAAAAAAATTACACCGTAAATCGTAATAAATATGAAATTGAATACAGTCAAACATGGTCAATCCAAACATGTTTGAAGTTTGCGTTTTTAGTTCTGCACTTTAACTAAGAAGCTAATGAAGCAAGTAGGGCTGTATGATATTACCTAAAGCATGATATTCGATAAAGCTGTTGGATATCACAATAACGATATGGGAAGCGATGAATTATTATTAAAATAATGTGCCTTTGACTGGATGAAAAAATACAAAATTACCAAAGCACCATTCACTAATGTGCAAAATAAAAAAAAGAAAAGAAACAGCTACTTACATCAGAACTGCAAGCACATTTTTGTGCATTAAAAGATTAAGAAACAGTCAGCATTACAGCATAACAGCTGTAAAGGCTACAATAACATATAATACATATTTAATTTTTAGAGGCACACAAGAATGAATAAATATTTTTGTTTATGTAATTATTTATTTTTGTTTAGTTATCACATAGGTTTGTTGTGACAATAGCTACTACTGCCTTGCACAACTGAACATAGTCGTGGGTATGAGATCAATCCTAATATTTGATGTGTTTTTACAGGCTTGTAGTTCAGGATGGAGTCATTTTTGAGGTGTGCCCTTGTGTTTTGTAATTGGCTATTTAGCCTAATGGTTAAGTTACTCTTCCCACATGTGGGAAAGCAGGATTTAATCCCAGCATGGGGAACCACCTTCTAACAGTTTGTGCCTACAATGTAATGACGTCTCTGTCGTTGTATGTATGAGGTAATTTGAGCAATCTGTTTTTTCCTATTTTTCATTACTCCCATTTCTTCAGTCTTTACTTTCTGTATAGGTTTGTCTACATTATAAATGAGAGTCACCCTCAATGGGCAAAAGGTTGATTGATTGAGCTAGCGATAACAATAAAAACACATTTTTTTACTAGCAAGTAATAAAAGCTTGCACTCCACAATTTAGCATTTAGCAAAATGCATGTAAATCTAATCTAAACTTAGTGATTTGTGAGGCTGTAAGCTTTCATTACTTGTTAGCTACAAATCTGTGTAGCTTCAGTGGCAAACTAAAGAAGCAAATGTCAGGCACCATGTCTTGTCTGATCAAGTACATGTGGAGTAAAAGGCAAATTGTGTAAAATTGTGTTTTTGAGCAGAAAAAAACTTTTTTATAGTGCATACTGACTATAATATGGAGCCCCTAAGGGGCCATGGTTAAAAAAAAAACAAGTTAATGACATTGCATTCCCTTGCAAATGTTTTGCGTTCCCTCCCAAATGTTTTTTGTTCTCTCGCAAATGTTTTGCATTACAATGCAACGGTTTGCATTCACTTGGAAAAGCTGTGCTTTGTTTAAGCTCAGACATGAAGCAGCTCATTGAATTTTATGTTGATCTTGGATTGAAATATAAAGACGTGTCGCTTCTCAAAATCAAACATGATTATGCTGTTAGTGAGCGCAAACTGAAACTGAGATCGAGTGTCCTCATACAGTAAAAGCTACATTTACAGAGATTGCAGAGAACAATTGCCGAATAAACTCAGCACAGACTGGCAAAACTGGGGAAACAGTTTTTAACGTTCAATATGCTAAAAACAAAGCTCTAATGTCGTTGGGCACCTCTGGTCCTACTTTTGACTTGTTGTCTGATGAGCATATATTTTGCGAGGGAACGCATTTTATTTGCAAGGGAACGCAAAACATTTGCGATGGAACGCAAAACATTTGCAAGGGAATGCAATGTCATTAACTTTTTTTTTTTAACCACAGCCCCTTATGGGCTCCGTACTAAAATAGTTCAACTTCAGGTGGCAAGTAAAGGTGAAGTGAACATCCCAGACCCTCATGGAGCAAAAGAAGTCACTCACAACGTAATTTCCAAGCTTAGTGAGGGAGTGTTGTAATGCTCCGGAAGGCATAAGCCAGCTACAGATTGTGCATGTGTTCCATTTGGACTGTGTATTCCCCTCACCAAATGGGAGAAACCTTCACAAGCTACGTAAAGCAGTGAAGACTGTCAGTGTTCAGCTGTTGTGGCTCATCATTTTTATTGGCTTCGCACACGCATTTGAATTCAGCCCAGTGCATGTTTTCATTTGGATTATGCTTTGAAGATTCATAGCTCTGGTGACTTTACAGGTTAAAAAAAACTGCTGGAAAATACTTTGCTATGTTTTGGATCTGATTTTTTGGTTCACAATGGTCTGTTACCCAGAAGAGCCTCTCTCTACCTCTACCACCTCTGTATTTTAACTGCTTTAACACAGTCACAGATTTTTTTTTAAGTTTTTCCAATTTTATTCCCAATTTAAGGATATCTAATTCCACCCACTAGTTATGACTCCCCCAATCACACCACCTGCGCTGAGAGGGTGAAGGCTAACACAAGCTTCCTCTGAGTTCCACCACATCTTTTCAAACTGATGCTAAAGCAACATCACTGGATGTTGCTGAATGTGCTCGGAGGAAAGCACCAACTGCCAGTTCTGTTACGTCAGCTAACAGATGCTAGGCTGGCTAGCATCGTGCTGAGTGATGGAGGTGAGGGAGGGCCTTCCTACCCATCCAGAGAGAGCGAGGACTCCCAGCCATGGATGGCTGTAGCTTCACCAGGGATCAAACTCATAAACTCCTGATGATAGGGCCAACACTTAAACAGATGTGCCACTCAGGAGCTGCAGTCACAGCTTTAACTTTCTACCAAAGCCTGTGTGAGCTAAGGTGTGTTAGAGCAGGGAAAACAGAACTATACAGCACTCTAGTTGTACAAGACTGAAGTTTGTAGTATTTTATACACTCATAGCCCCAGCTTAACTAAGTAGTAGGTTGTTCTAATAGACTTTTTTCTTACTTTGCATGAATTACTGAATAGATATGTGATTATATAAACTGTATATTACATATCTCAGGTTAAATATACACCAGAGTGCCCATTGGTTGGTAGATACTGGTATTTGACCAATAAAATCTCCACAAGACTGGCGAATTTTGATGTCATCGGACACAACATGCTGTGGAAATGCACTTAGCCAAATTCCATACAAAAAAATATGTAGGCAGAATCTTGTGGCGATGCGTTCACCTGCTGTTCTGTACAGAGAGAAATGACTGACAGAGGATGCAGCTGCAGTCAAGTTTAATTTCAATTACTTAGCCTACTCTGATGACCTGCTGTAAAGCTTCTGTTTTTTTAACATTGTCTCTTTTTTGTTTACTGCTAACACTACATTTTCACAACTTGTTCTATCTAAAATGCATATCTTTTGTTGTGAGTACAGAAGTTGTCATTGAAAAGAAGTTTAAACATAGCTAACAGCTAGTCTAGGCAAGTAAAAGTCACGGCAAGTCAGCTCATATTCCCATCAAACAGTTTATAGGGATGGTCTAATGTTGTCAGCATAAATTTGATCTAATCATGTATGAATGAAAATGCATGTTTATACTGATTGTGTGGTCCTTAAGACCACAGACTTGGAGATGGGTAGGGCTCAGAGGGGAGGTGGACTGAAAGATTAGATTTACAGCCAGATGCTGTTGGTCAGTAAAGACATTTGCTTGTTATTACTTGCAATAAAACAGAAATGTAGACAAAAACCCAACCACATTTCAAACTTTATTTTTTTCTACAATTGACTTTAAGCTGACAACAACCATGAAACAGAGAGGAAAACTGATGTTTACATCAGTTTTACTCATTTGGGGTTTTACTCATTTGTCCAGCAGACCGAATCATTTCCGGACACCGTGGCCGACTCTAAAATTTCCTAGCGGTTACTCTGATCCCAAGATCATACATTTGCAACCTCAGAGTTTTACAAATTATGGGTTTTACTCTTAAATATTTGTCAGTGATTTGATTGTGACCTCACCACTGTCTTCCTTAGTATGTATTTCTCTGTTATTTATCTTCTTCTCCACTATGTGTATGAATGCTATGGGGAGTAATCTGAGGGTGAAACATAATGATTGAGATGTCATTGGGCTGGCAGCTGCGACACCAGTGTCAAGCTGGGTTCAATTCAAGGGGTGTTTACTGTGTGTGCCCAGTGCTTGCCTCTAATCCTCTTACAGTCACGTCAGTCTCCCAGTAATTATCCCCTTTTTCTCTCAGGCCAGCACAACTATCTCTGTGCGGGGAGGAACGACTGCATCATCGACAAAATCCGCAGGAAGAACTGCCCAGCCTGCCGCTTCCGCAAGTGTCTCCAAGCTGGCATGAACCTGGAAGGTAACTGATGCTGAGTGATTTCCAATATACATCAGTCAGCCACACAATGGTCCACTGTCTAGAAGACATACCCTGCACCCTCACTTACTACATTCAATCTTTGTCAAATTCAGTCCTGGCCCTAGTGCCTACCTGCTTCTTTCAACCATATAGATGTTTGAGTCCAGGGTCATAGTAGTGCTCCTTCTCCTCTCCAGTGGCTTCTCTAGGAGGTGTCCTTGAGCAGGTGATGGAAGTTTTTTGAACCAGTGCAGTGCTGCTTTTAAGAAAATGGCAGCATACCATAAAATAATAGCCTTTCCAGCCCCTTTGATTCACTTTATGGAGTCTGAATGGCCTCATCCACTCACGTGCAAGGGTATAAAATTGTGTATTATCTATTTGTTTGAAGCATGGGGTGGGGGAGGCGAGTAAAATTATGTCTATGTAGCGGCAAGTCCACTAAATACGGGGTTCAATCACTGAGGCTCTTAGTTGCCATAGAAACATTTATGGTGGAAAATTAAAAAAGTGGGACTAAATGAGAATGAATTTGTTGGTAACCTCACAAGCCATGCATACGCTGGAGACTGAACAGGAGTTATAAGCAAAATATACAACCATATTTTTCTATTACAATGTTAAACTATGCATTCTGTGAAGAGGCTAAATGTGTTCAAGCAGGGTTTGGTACATACATACATACATACATTCGTACAAATGTACGTACATACATACATTCATATGCCTATATAAAACACATTACCATATTTGTAACATGGAAATGCAGATGTATCTCTTTTCGACAAACCTGAAGAAGTAATAGAAATAAATTGTGAGGCAGGATTTAACATTTATTTTGTGATTGTACTGGCATAGGGAATTTGAACATTTTCCATGTGGAAAATTCTGTCCAAAAAAAAAAGCTCATGAGAGGAAGGATGGTTAGTAGTCCAATGGAGGGAAAAAAATATGTGTAAAAGAAGGTTGTTTTTTCCGTCAGGGTTAATAAATGTGTGGTCACCAATTTTGCTCCTAGACCTCTGCCATCCTGCAAGCTCTAACTTGATCCACCAAAACTAATCTATCTAATTATTATCTTCAGACATCCTTAATTGGCTAGATGAGTTAGATTTGTGGTAGATTTGGGTTAGATGTGAAACCTGCAAGAAGACAGACTTCTAGGATGAGGGCTGGTAACCACTAATCTACAGAATTGTGCTGTGCAGCCTGAGAACTGAAGTAGCTAGAACAGTTTTTACAGATCTTACAAGTCTAGTACAGAGAAGATAAAAGATTTGAAAAAGAAGTGGTCTTTGAGTACAAAAAAAATCCGGCTTAACTCACTCTGACATATCCAGAAGCTCAGAGATGGGCCTCATTCACCCACAATTCTCAAGAAGAAATTTCTTTTTAAAACCAGCTTATGTTTTTTTGTACAAAAATTCTTACATTGAGTAGTGTTTTCTTATTTGGGATTTGTTCTTAGGCAAGAACAGAATCTACACACACTCAGGAGCACAAAGGCTGCGGTTTAAAAACTCATGCATCTGACATAGACTTTTTTTAGGGCCTTTCTCTAGAACAAATTCAAAAAAAAACTGAGGAAGATATTTGGTTAAATGAGGCCCAGTGTTTGCTTGTACGTGCTTTTCAACTGGAAAATAGTTGAGAAATATTTGAGAAAAACAGGTTATTGAAAAGTTCAGCAAGGAAATCTTTCCTTCTGCTGTACCTTTTGCCTAACATGTTTGCAGCTCATAAAGATCACAACTCTTCTTCATATAAGCATAGGATCGTCTATGATTTGCTCTTTCTTCCTGTATTCCAGCACGCAAAAACAAAAAGCTGATCCGGCTAAAGGGCCAGCAGGCTGTGGCTGACACAGCTCACCCCATGCCCAATGAACGAGCATGTTCACTGGTGCCCAAGTCCATGCCTCAGCTGGTGCCCACCATGCTGTCCCTGCTCAAGGCCATCGAGCCTGAGATTGTGTACGCCGGCTATGACAGCACCATCCCAGACACATCCACCCGCCTCATGACCACCCTCAACCGGCTGGGTGGTCGCCAGGTCATCTCTGCCGTCAAGTGGGCCAAGGCCTTACCTGGTAAGAGAGATTGTTTTGCTGTTATTCTAGAAGTAACTTTCACACAATTCTGATTTAAGTCTAATTTAAACAATGAACAAAACTAGCTGATTTACACTACTCAAAATTAATAAAATTACATAAAATTCTGATTCAGGATTGCTGGTATAACTGTTTGTAGTTATGCAATGTTCCTTTGTCCATTTTTATAGATAGCAGTGTGTCACAGAGTATCAGAAACCACATGAGAAAGTCTATTTGAGATTATGTAATAACTTCACACGGGTTAAGGCAAGTGTGTGATAATTTAACATCTCAGTTTGCACAGTGCTAATTAGAGGGTATACACTTTCATTACTTGTTAGCTAGATTAGCTTCGTAGCTTCAGTGTAAAACTAAAGATGCAAATTTTGGTTGATCAACTGTATTCAGGGTAAGGTGAAAATTATACAATTCTTTTTTGCTGGACTAACTTTGTTAAAGGGCCATTTCAGGTTAAGAATATGGTTAAAGATACTAGCAGTTAGCATTTAGCTGTTGATACCTATGATTGCTATATCAGCTAAATTGCAAGTTGTAGATTGCTGAAGAAGGTTGACCACTAGCAGCAGCAGCTTCAGCGTGCCAGGCGCTACAGCCACAGTGGCGTAAGGAAGCGTGCACATGATTTGTTAATCGTTGGAAGTATTTGCTCTGTCCCACTGCTTCTCCTGAGTCGAATGGGCAGGCCTGAGAAAAGACTCAAAGAGTGAAGTTATATAAGAGCTGCATGCTCGAGCAAACACGACCACGGAGGATGTTAAGCACGTCACCTTTGAAGTGGAAAGAATTAAAAGACATTCTTACGCCACATATTATGCATAGCCATTTTTTACATTGCATTGTATTTTATGTACTAGTCATTGAACATCGTTAGAGACTGTTATTGTCATGTTTTTGTGTTCTTTTGGGAGAAGGATGCAACTCAGTGGATCATTATTAAAACTTAATTCAGTTTCCTGCTGTGCAGAAAACCTTGCCTATGTGCCCCACTCACACTGCTGATGACACTCCTACCTTCTGTACAGACTCAAACTAGAACTGTTTAATCATAGATATTGTTTCACCTGCCTCACACTATACATATATTCTTATTCACTCTAACATATTGTCATGATAGGCTTCTAGGTAGTCGTTGATATTTATGGGTTTAACTCTCATTTTCACTGACAGTCACTGGTTTTCATAGATCTGTTAGTCATTTGTTGCTCTGATAGGCCAGTAGTCATTGGTTATGATTGGTTAATCTAAATACTTTTGTCCAATGACATGCTGGTTGCTTGGGTTACAGTGGGTGTAACAGTAACACTGTAACATTGCTACTGGTCAGAAACAGTGACTGATTTTCGTAGATCAGTTTCTCATGTGTTACTCTGATCGGCCAGTAGTCTTTGGTTATCACTGGTTAATCTAAATACTTTTGTTGAATGACAAGCTGGTTTCTTTTCTTTTTTCCTATGTTCAGTTTTTGACCTGCTTTTTAAACATATTTTTACTTGTACTTGAGCCATTAATTCACAGAACTAACAAGACTTTTACTTGGGTATAGGTTTAGGCTAATCTAATCCCCACACCCCCCACTCCCTAGCAGGTTAAAACCACCTATCAGGTTCTTTGGCGTAAAAAAATAATGTGTATGCCACTGCTATCTCAGAAAGCATTTCTCACATAACCAGGTCATGGCTTGCAGTGGAGCATGCAACACTCTTTTCCTGATAACAGCTGAATCATTCACCCACATATTTTCCTTTATAACTTAATAATAAATAAGAGAGAGGGTATGAAGTAAACTGTTATCATTTTGTGTGCTGCAGGAGTGAACATTAAAGGAGCAGATGATATTTCTTTGTACCTTCACATAGATTCTACAAGTTTCTGCAACAGTACTGAAGGGATGGAATACCATTCTTCCAGAGGATATTCCCTCAGTTGATGTTTTGATGATGGTGGTGGAGATTTCGCAGATCTTGGGTTGAGAACTGCAAAGGCCATAGCATAATGTTTACATCATTTTCATATTCGTGAAGTCATTCTGTGACCCTTCATGCCCTGTGTATCCTGGAAGAGATCACTACCATCAGGGCAGCCCCTCACAGCCCCACTTGTTGAGAAAGTCATTCAGTTATTCACTTGTTATTTTTGTTGATTTCCACATCTCTGTGGATCATGTTTTTTGCTGAACTCTCAAATGTTGTTGCTGTTGCTGTTCTGTTTTCCCTTAAATGGAATGTGCACATTCAACCACAGTTTCTTACGCTATTTACTGATGTCATTCCATCTAAATGCAGATGTCACTTCAGTCACTATTCCTATTAAAACACCAGTAGTCTTTGTGAGTGAAGCTCTTACCATTCGTGCCCTCATTCAAAGTCACTTAGATCTTTACCTCTTGCCATTATAATCCAAAATTTAGGTTAACTGGTCCTTCTGTCTGATAGCATCTGCACTTGTTATTTTACTCTGCTCATTTGATTGTGTTTTTCCTTTCATTTGTCACTTGCCTGTGTATCACTAATGCTAACTGGCTGCTATTAGCTGCTGTTGCATATGTATTGATATCTCTTTATGGTTTTCCTGACCCAGGTTTCCGGAACCTGCACCTGGATGACCAGATGACCCTTTTGCAGTGCTCCTGGCTATTTCTCATGTCCTTCGGCCTTGGCTGGAGGTCCTACCAACAGTGCAATGGAGGCATGCTCTGCTTTGCCCCAGACCTTGTCATCAACGAGTGAGTGCAATCATTTATTTATTTATTTATTTATGGTCTGTTGAAATCCAAGAGGTTTGGGATCTGAATTAATAAGTCACAAGCTGAGAACAGTGTTGTACTTCGGAATGAGTGAAGATTTGATTTCTGGGTTGTCTTGATGTCTAACATTTGAATCTTCAGTATCTACTGCATTGAGAAATCACTTAATATAGCTATATAGTTTATTGTAATATTATGAATTGCGAAGATTAGGAATTGTGAATCTTACATAATATTGAAAACAACAATGAACCTTTTTTTAGGGAGAGGATGAAGCTGCCCTACATGGGTGAACAGTGCGAGCAGATGCTGAAGATTGCCAATGAACTGGTGAGACTCCAAGTGTCCTATGAAGAGTATCTCTGCATGAAAGTCCTTCTGCTGCTCAGCACAGGTTGGTACATTAATCTTATTTCTTTGGTATGAAGATGGGCTCTGATTTTAAAGGCACAGCATACAGCAGTACATAGCTTAACATAGTTTCACAGCTTTTGTAGGTCCTTAGTGTGCTGTTCTTTTAGCAGTTGCCCTGGTGCTATTACTTTAGCTTCAGCTTTATGCAAATGACCATGGTACAATAATAAGTATTGTTAGACGATCTTTGTTATTCTCTAAGATTTGTTATGTTTATACAAAAACAGAGGAGAAGTTTGTAAAATTAAAATTATAGATCTTTTTCAAACTCTTTCAAACAGCATTGTTTTTGCAATTGATGCAGAGCAAATAACAGAGCCACACACACACTCACCAAGCACTTTATTAGGAACATTGTGTTAATACTGGGTAGGGCCTCCTTTTGCTCTCAAAACAACCTCAATTCTTCATGGCATGGATTCCACAAGATGTTGGAAGCATTCCTTTGAGATGCTAGTCCATGCTGACATGATTGCCTCATGCAGTTCCTGCAGTTTTTTCAGATGCACTTCAATGCTGGGAATGTCACATTCTACCAGACCCCCAAGGTGTTCAGCTCCGGTAAACAGGAATGCCACTGAAGATCACTAAACTCATTGTCATGTTCATGAAACAAGTTTGAGACTTTTGATTTGTGACATGGTGCATTATCATGCTGGAATTAGAAGATGGGTAAATTGTGAATATGAAGGGATGCACATGGTCAGCAACAATACTCAAATAAGCTCTGGCATTCAAGCAATGATTAATTGGTATTAACGGGCCCGGAGTGTGCCAAGAAAACATTCCCCACACCATTACACTACCTCCGCTAGCCTGGACTGTTGTTTTTCCAGTCTTCAACTGTGCAGTTTTGGTGAGCCTATGCCCCCTTCAGCCTTAGCTTTCTGTCCTTGGTTGACAGAGATGGAACCTGACATGGTCTTCTGCTGTTGTAACCCATCTGCCTCGACATGTTGTGCAGTCTGAGATCTTTTTGTACAATTGTACAGAGTGATTATCTGATTTACCATGGTCTTTCTGTCAGCTCGAGCCAGTCTGACCATTCTCTGTTGACCTCTGTCATCAAAAAGGTGTTTCCGTCCACAGATCTGCCACTCACTGGATGTTTTTTCTTCATCACACTATTCTGAATAAAATTTAGAGAGTTGTACATGAAAACCCCAGGAGATCAGCAGTTATAGAAATATTCAAGCCAGCCTGTCTGGCACCAACAAACAGCCACAGTCAAAATCACTGAGATCATATTTGGTCCTCATGCTGATGGTTGATTCGAACATTAACTGAACCTGTTAGCCTGTATCTGTATGATCTTTCGCACTGCACTGCTGCCACATGAATGGCTGATTATGCAATTAGAAAACTGCGTGAATGAGTAGGTGTACAGGTGTTTCTAATAAAGTACTTGGTGAATGTACATCATAGGTTATTGGTTTAATACATAATGGTCATCATGAGATAAATCTGACATGAAGTGTCTTAACAATATTCGGGTGGCTTCTCACGATGGACTGTGTAGTTTCATTTATAACTTGAGATTTATTTTGTTAAACTCATGTTAATTGATTTCTTATTTGTACAGAAACACACATAAGCTCTCCAACAGTCCTAACATTAATCTTTCTTGTCATACCAATTTTATATCGATAATTTGAAAGCACTGATTTGCTATTAAGTCATCCTAGTGCAAAGATGGTATTTATAAACTGTGTATGTAACATAAATATAATATAAAGTTCAAGTAGCATTCTCAAAGTCTCTGTTTTCTGCTAATACTGGGCAGCAAAGAGTCTCTGTTGCTGTGCTGACGCTTACTTTCCTGGTAACACCATGATTCTAAATGTCCTGGGTCTATTTTGAGGGTAGTCAAAGACGAACTACTGCTGGTCATATAGCAGCAGTTCAGCACAGCACAGCCTGCTGTTATAGAACAAGCATTTCACAACAGTCTGACTGCACTGGTATGAATAATTTATTTCAACATAAGCAAACCAGGAGAAATCTATTGACCAAGGATTTTTAATTAAAGTACCATAAAATATGTCATTAATAAAAAAGTACCAGCTGTTTGTTCTGCCAAAGGACTTCTGCATATTAACCAGTAGCTCCCTGTATTATGTGTTGTTTCTTCTAAATACAAGAAGAGTAACAATCCAGAATATTTTGTAGGCAGATACTCCAGTCTTTTTGCAATTAGTGTACAACAACCATGTCCAAGCCTTGGTAAGCCATTTGCTGCTCAGTATGCTAGCTTGAGATACCATTTGTGGCAAAATGGCCGGCTCTAATTGTCATTTAAAGAATCATTTTATGCCTTTCAAATTGCACAAAAAAGAAGTAAACAGGACACACTTAGGTGTGCTTTGATTGCTTCTTGCAGAAGTGGAAATTGCATGTGCATTTCCCAAAAAAAACAGCCGGCTTTTCTTTTTTCTTTTTTTTTTGTAAACTTCACTCAGCCATATCTGCTTTGTAAAAGAAAGGGCTCTCTGAGGCTTCCATTTCTGTTCTGCCTGCTGTACATCATCCTGTAAATTCATTGCCCTTTTTGTTCAAGGAACTGGCTGGCCGAAGTCTGAGAGAATGAAGAGTCATTTGGGTTTTGATTGACCATCTGAGGGTCAGACTTTACACAAACAAAGTCCCGCTGTCTTAGTGACTAACAGAAGATAAGAAAACAGGACACAATTTCTTGCACTGTACTGGACGCTGCAGCGCTTTGCATAAGCTCTGGGTTTGCCTGGGCTGAAGTACAACATCCCAGAACCTCAAATCCAGTAACTTGTATAGCATTATATCTCTCCATCCACAGGGAAGAGTGCAGAGACTTGAAAATGGTTGATACTTCCTCTATTTTTCATACTTTCCTATGATTAAGTGAGTTGGGAAATGGATTTATGTGATTGACTGGGCAAGATAGATAGAGGTTTTCATATTTCTGAGAGTGCTGTAATATGGGTGCAGTGTGGCTTATTATTTGTAAATTTCAATGTGCCATCTTGTTGTACTGATTGACATTGTGACCATATCCCTCATTTGGTCTTTGCAGTACCAAAGGATGGGCTCAAGAGCCAGGCGGTGTTTGATGAAATTCGCATGTCCTACATTAAAGAGTTGGGCAAGGCCATCGTCAAACGGGACGAAAACTCCAGCCAGAACTGGCAGAGGTTCTACCAGCTCACTAAGCTTTTGGATTCCATGCAAGAGGTGAGCTGAAGGTTTCCTCAGAGCTTTTCGATCAACAAACGTACAAAGTAAATCCAGTAGAAGGACACATCTCAACCTAATGGCAATGGTAATGGTAAAGAGCATGTATGAAAGCAGATCATTTCAAGAATTTTCTCATTTTCTGGGATGTTTTTTCTTTGTGTAAACACAGCTTTTACCCTAATTGAATCACAGTATTAGATACTGAGACCAGTATTCAACTCTGCTGTTGCTATTCGTACTTCACACAACACCTAACAGTGGCCCAGTGTTTTGGATCTATGTTTACGCCATTGTGACCCAAGGCCCTGTTGACTACTGAATTGCTGCCTTTGTTCACAGATGGTGGAGGGGTTGCTCAACTTCTGTTTCTACACATTCGTGAACAAGTCGCTGAGCGTGGAATTCCCAGAGATGCTGGCCGAAATCATCAGCAACCAGCTTCCAAAAATCAAAGACGGGAGCGTCAAGCCACTTCTGTTTCATCAGAAATGACTGCCTTATACAAAAAACACAACAACAATGCCTTAACGCCACCCTAAATCCCCACCGCTAGCCTAACGGCCCTGATTACTGCCCTGGATAGGCCCTCAGCTATCACGGATCAACTGAGTGAGATCGTGATATACATTCTTTTGTTTGGGTGTCATTCCTAGAGAATGGGTAAAGCTTGCTTTAGAGAGCAAGAAAGAGCAGAAAAGAAATATAAAGAATGTTTGTGGCACAATTAAGGACAGAATGAACTCATTTTTCAACTTTTTATTTTCCTAAATTAAAGTATAACACTTTCTGCATAGCAGTTAGACTGGAGCAGGCTAATTTTACAGATTTTAACAAGAAAGGAATATTTTCTATTGATTTTTAAAGTTAGTTTTTTTTGCATGTACACTGCTGCAATGTTTACAAAGGTATATCAACAAAAGGGAAAATGTGCCTTTTTAGAGAAAAAAAGAAAAAAACTCAGCTGTTTCTCTGTCCAGTGGCATACATGCTCTTCTGTTTGTTCGTGTTGTGTCTCGTACCTGTCACTGCTTTTTTTTGCCACTCCTCTTTGAAGCGGCCATGTTCATTTTCTAAAGCTGGCAGCTCGGAGTTGCTGAGGAGTAGGAGGTAAAACCCCGTAACCGGCCATGATAACATCGTGTTTTGTGCCGTTTTAGACCTCTACACTGCACTTTAAAACATTAGGAAATGCTTTTTCTCTGCTCTCTGAGGTCTTTCATCACGAACTACGTGCTGTTTATGCTGTTACACAATTCTCACATCCCTGACACCAAGCGCTAAATTACTTTGCTACCATGGCCAATATGTCCGCTTCAATTGCAGTCTGTTGTGTAAAATTGGACACACTGCCCCCTATGTGCAACGCCTTATAAATTAATCATTCTCTGCTCTCTGGTGGGCTCTAAAGTCTCTGAAAAGTGTCGAATGAGTTTTAAGGAGTCATTTTAATGCACCTGCAGCCGGCCGCTTTTAAAATCAAGCAGACAGACAGACGATAAGTAAGGTCACTTAGAATTCAGTTTAAGATTAATTACAGGTTTTGCTCGTCCTGCCAGTTAAGCACAGCTTCCTGTGAAAGTAAAATTTCACGTTTTGATTAATCCAAGGCCGCTACCCTTTTACTGCTACCGTCCACAGTGATCAAGTTAACTTGAGCTTAAAGGGAAACTCCAAAGAGCAATGCCACCACCAAAAAATAATTGAATTCTAGGGAAGACGTTTTGAACTGCTACATGCTCTTCTAGGAACAAAAGTCTTACTCTTCAAAAGACAAAGCTGACCAGCAGTGCTGTTGTGAAAACAGTAAGGCCCAATCCCATTTCTTATTTCTACCTGTACCCCTTGTTTTTGAGTGTCACCTTGCCCCTTGGAACTGAGTTACAAGGGTTAGTGGTTGAAATCTTGCCAGATGAAATAGGACAACCCTCAAATAAAAAAGAACATCATTACTTTATTAACAGGCTACTAGCGGTGCTCTGTAGGCAACCCTGCCTGTCTGCAGTGATAGCAAAGGAGGGTAAAGTCCAGCAACCTCACTGCTGGGCTTTAGGTACATTTAGGGCATCATATGCCATTAAAGAGGGGGGATGTGACAATTGTTTATTGCCCACCCCTAATTCTTTGGTGATATGAAGCTAAAGTCAGCTATTCACCAGCTTCTTGTTCTAATTTTTCTGTTCTAAGTCCCCCGTTCTAAGTCCCATTTAAGGTGGAGCAGGAAATTTAGCTTGCTAGCTACAGAGACATCAGCAGACTACTGATTTTTATGCTTGTTATGAAGAAAAGGACCATAATACATCCAAACTATGATAATACAATGGTTATTGTATATTTTGACAGAAAAAATACTTACATTTGTGGGTTTCTTTGGTCGCTTGCACAGCCGTCTTGCCAGTTTTTGTTTATTTCTCCTAACACTCTATTTGGACTGTGCCTCTAAAAAACCTCCATTTGGAGAGTCATGTAGCTGTTCAGTTTTTTGTGACACGATTGCAGCAACTTTGAGCAAATGTGACTGGAGTTCTCCTTTAAGTCAGCATATACTTGGTATTGCGTAACCTTTAACTAACTGTTCTGTCCCATTTCACCTCTTGGGAGCAGCACTGCAGCTGCATTCCTGTTTCGCTGTGCTTTTGTTTGAATCTTCCTGCTGAAGCCTGTTTTGTCGTGTCCCTTTGTTTTTGTGCTGGAGTCGTTCTGCAGGGCTCGTCTTTTTTGGAAGTCCTTTCCCCCACGCCTGCTTTATGATTGAAAGGTGTTTGGGGTGTCTTTTGGCTGCTTTTTTTTCTTTTACCCCTCTCCCATCTCATGCCCTTTTGTGAGCTTCTGAGTGCCAATCTAGTAAAGTACCATTTTATGGTGATATTGTAAACAGGGACAAAAGCTGCATTTGCTTTCCTTTCCGCTCAGGCCTGCATTCGTTTTCCTTGCTGTGTGAAAATCTCCAGTTTTCACATGCTGCTGTCTTTTTTAACGAAATTGCACCAGCGAAGACGTTACATCACAACCTAAAGCCCACTCTCACAAGCCTATTAATAACAGCCTTGCCATGATTTCAGTGTGCACATTCATTCATAACGCGTTCAAGTATTGTAGAATGCTTTTTTTCATTGTGTGACAAGCGCATTTCTGTGTGTAACGAAATATTCCCTTTCTCCAAGAGTACTAACAACCTAAGCCAAAAGAACATCTGCCTTGTGATTCAGGACTAACAAATCTTATACTATTATTCTAAAAGAGAAAAAAAGATGAATGAATTCTGTCCAACATGGTGCACTACATTACATGTACGTCTAACATGTTTTAGGTTTAAACCCCTTTTAAAAGTTGTTTTATCGTTAAATGAATCCCATTTGCTGATGTTTATGTTTAGAGTCACTGTTATGACCCAGCTCGGCCAAATACAGTATTAACAGGCACGTTTTGTCTTCAGTGCTGTGCAAAAGACCACCCTTCATTTATTTTATTTCCAGTCAAAATAGCCATTAAGTACAAAGTGTTTGTTTTTCAGTGTCAGGAAAGGAGGAGAAAACATATGTAACAGAAAATTACACAGAAGCATCAACAACCGAATATAATTGACTTTTTTCAGTATTTCCACACGCCTTGCTTTCTTTTCTTGCTTTTAGTTTTTCAAAGAAACCCGTAGGGATATTTTTCTACACCTTTAAAGTTCAGTCTTAGAAGTTGGTTCCATTTTCTGCTTCTCACAATCCAACATATTCAGTGACGTTGACGTTTTGGCCAGTCCATTGTTCTGAGAAGACCAGTAGCTTTTTGTTATCTCAGAAACGGCTTCTTGACAGCTACACATCCTGTCAGACTCAGTGTTAAAATGTCTTCTCAGAGTGGAAGGATGGACAGAAACACCTGTGGACTTTTTCAGATCTGAAGAAATAGTGGAGCACGATTTCTTCCTCAAACATGTCAAAGGCGAGAGCGTTAAGTACTGTTCATCTTGTGGTTGACAGTTAATGAGGTTTTCCCAGTTTGGTTTTAATGTTACTTTCTCTTTCCTTATGTGAGTGGATTATCTTGTCTAGTCTCCTCAGAACTATCTCCTGAATTATGAATGGCCAGGAGTGAATGAATTTGCTGGAAATGAAATAAACAAAGGGTGGCCTCTTACCTTTGCACATTACTGTATATGTAACCAGTTCATGGTGTTAAATTTGGCTGAGCTTAAAAAAAGAAAAGATCTCACACATTGCTGAGAAGGTTAAAGTCTTTTGGCTTACTTTCACATACAGTACAGTGTTAGCAGGACTCATGCACATTAAACATCTTCTGGACGAAATGGACATTCGGTGTACTGCATACAGTGAAGTCCATAACCTGTAGCATCCCAGCACAGAGATATTTACAGAGTATTTTGTGAGAGTTTAGTTTTGCAAGGGCATATTCCGCAGCGGGCCTGTGAAATGTTTTATTTTCCTTAGCTGTTTCACAGTAGGCCTTGCTAAAGGGAGACTGAGAGCCATAAAAAGTTTTGAATTCAGGAGTACTTATCCAGTAACAATCCTAGAAAATCGAATCCTCAACAATCTTTCACTAATTTGAGATTTAAAGAATATTAGATAAAGTCTGTTTCTGTATTCAAATCCTTTTACTACCGAGAAGAATTTTATTGCATAAGATGCTTGTATAATTTGTGTTTTGTAAAATAAAAAAACAGATATATTGCAAATTTACTTTAAGAAAAAGTGTTATAATGTTTGACTTGTAAGTAAATGTAAATTCTATAAATCAATAGGAAAGATTTAAGAGAGATCACTGTGTTTTTAAAAAAAAACAAGAGATTGGGATTTTAAGCAGAGAGGGGCGAGGGACTGGAGCATATTTTATATCGTGCAACAGAGTGACCAAAGCAAAGTAGATTATTATATAACAGAAAAAGAAAAAAAAGAAAGAAAGAAACTGAAGTGTTTAAAGCAGTTACATTTTACAGTAGCACTTATTATCCAACTCTAGAATGTATTGTTTTATCTACTTTTTCTATTTCTTTTGTAAAGGTCTAGGCTTTGGTTTCATGTATATTGCTGTGAAAAAACAAAAAAAAGAAAAACAAACAAACAAAAAATTAACTGTGTGTGAAAGTAATGTACCAGAGCCTAAGGATTTGCACTACCCTAATACTAGTCTAAAAGTCTATTTTGTACAAAATCCATGCAAATATTATCTTTAAAATTAAGGGCAGATCATATTTCACTCGTGTATGGCTTACATTAAAGTCTGTTCTGTTTGCATTTCAGTTATGTAAATGTAATCCAATGTAAAGAATAATGTCTATTTGTTTAAAAATAGTTTTGTATTACACTTAAGTAGTCAATGTCGATCTTCACACATATTTGATTAAATGTTGAACAAAAGTCATTTTGTGTGGGGAAGGGAGTCTTTTTGTTCAAGTTGTTTTTCTTTGACCTTTTCTGACTTTTTCTCATGTCTACACAGATAGACCTCCACAAAGGTGTAGATAATACAGCTTCCTGGCCAGCCTGGCCAGTTTTGAAAGAACAAGGTCAGAGTTTGATGACCGATATACGATTCTTAAGCTGTAGAATTTATTGCTTAAAGATTTGTTAGGCTGCATTTACACTGTGAAACTTTTATGCAACTATTGTTGCTTGAAACCTACATGAAGCTAAATTGCGCTTGAGTTGTATAATGTAAAGTCAGCTTTAATCAGTGATCTATGTGAAACTGTGGTCATATGAGCAAACATAAGGGCTAAATCTGAAAAGAACTGTGCAGTTATAATGTGGATGATGATGTTTCTGAGTGTAAGTGAGCACAAGGTAAAATGCAATATGGCTTTTTTATGTAGTTAAACAAGTTACAGTAGAACTAGGCTAGACAGTTTCTCAAGATTCACCCTGAAAACTGTACCATGAAAGTTAGTTCTTTCATCATAAAGATTTTCAGTTACTGAATTGTGTGTATAAATTCACACCTGTACCTTATTTTAAACACCCTCTATGTGTCTGTAATATTGAAAGCAAGTCAGTTGCTCACAGTGAGATCTAGCCAGGCTAAAGCACAGCCTCCACATGGTTGGCTTGGGTTTAATGCAACTAGGCCTCCAACAGTGAACATTGAGGGAGCTCTATATTCCTTTGAAAATAAATTCAAACTTCATTTGTGCAGATTTTTTAAAAAAACGCTACAAATTTTATAAAGTGAATGTTATAACTAGCCCTAGCTTTGTTTCAGTTAATCCTGCTTTAAGGGGTAAGTTGTAGCATTACTTGCTGTAGCATAGTCACTGCTTTCGACTGAATTGTTCATTAACGGTTGGAGCTGGAAACTAATTGTAAGTTTTTATTTGTAGCAGAGATGCAACTAATTATTAATCTTGCACAAATGTGTTTTTGCAGTGCACAAACTAGAATGTGTTGTGTCCAGCTCTCCCAAGGAACCCACTAGGAACTGCAAGCACATTCAGGCCTTTTAATGTGTTTAGAAAGTCACAGTGTCTTAAGGTAGCTCAGGCTTATTGACAATATTTTTTATAAAAAGGTAGAAAAATGAAATGCAAGTTTTACTTTCTAATGATGCATCTCGAGGAGAAGATAAAGGCAAGGATGGTGACAAGGTAAGCTACACTTGTTTTATGAGATGAAATAACGTCATCAATATTTGTTACTATGGTTACACCTATTTCATTTTTTAGGACAAGGACAAGCGAGACAAGTGCAGGCAGTGTAAACAAATAAGCATGCAGCAGTCTAATAGCAGATATTCATACAGCTATTTAAAATCAGCTTATGTATCAAGACATTTTGGACAGCAAAAATGAGTCAAAACAGATATTCAGAAAAAAAAAATGAATTAGATTTTGTCCCTGTCAGGACAAAACATTTTACCCCTAAAACTAACTTAGGAGAAGGGAAAAAAAAATTCTTTGAAGGTAAGTTAAGGTAAGAAGATTTTTCTAAGTTATGTTAAACAATGTCTGATACTCCATTCTCATATAAAATGAACACAATTTAACATTTAACACTGTGTTCAAATTTCATGATGAAAGGACTGACAGCTGGCACTTTCAAATTCTGTAAAAATGAATACCAAAAAAAAGATAAAAATTGGTCATAAAAGGTTTTGTCCTGACGACATTTATTTACACATAAAATATTTTTTCTTTTACTAAGGTACCTGGAAAATGTCATCACAGCTGTTAAAATGTAAATTGTACAAAATATCGATCTGTAATTTATATGTCCAGTGTGCTCAGCTTTTATACTTATAATGTCACTTCAGAAATCTTTTAGGTTACTTGTTTTTTTTTTTGTTTTTTTTTGGCAATATTTTCAAATAAACACAAGTAAATAGTTATTCCAGTAAGACATTTTACTGTAATTGTGCTTTTTTAGGAAACAGTATGAAGTATAAAGTATAAGTCTACTTGTAAAGTATAACACTGTGTATAAAGGACTCCCAACGATAAGTAGATACTCTATGCTCAGCACCAGATACTGTCAGGTGTGCGCTAGATAAACATAGTATCTAGTGCACACCACATAGTATATGTTGCTCGCCTGATAGCATTGGGTGTTCACCACATAGTATCTGGTGCTTACCTGAAAAAATATACCACGTCCCTTCAGGGGCTCCATACAAACCTGACGTATACATCAGTAATATGATTACTGTCTTTTTATTCTGTAACTTACAAAATACTGTTCTCTTTTAAAGGTTTACAGAGATGGTTGATGATGTGTTCTGTTTGCTTTTGTGAGAAATTCAGCAAACTTGTGCTGCAGTCCTGAAGAGTATGATGACAAACAGGGTCATGACACCTCAGGTGGCCAGACGAGAGCATTAATGGGGCCTGTGCTTTAGCTTGTGTTCTGCTTGAGTTCTACCCAACCCATGGCACCATATTTTGAAACCAAACCCGACGAAATTCCAGTGTACCAGATTTCAACTGTTTAAGAAGGAGGAAGAATAGAGAGGAAAAACTAAAGCAGGGATATAAGGAGGCAAAAATGCATCAAAGGTGAAAAAAACCCTATTCAAGTTTCAATGGTGAAATTTGAACCCTATCTGAGCTCTACAGATGTTGAAGAGATGACGACCAAAACCGTGTGAACCTGACCACACCTTACATGAACGACTGTGTCCTGTCAAGTTCAGGCCAATAATACAAGCTCTCGGCTGGACTGATGGATCAATCATGCGGCTGAAAGCACAAACTGCTGGGTCCACATTTCTCTAACCAGTATGTTCTAGTATTCTAGATCTTCTCCAGTGAGAGCACATAAAGTCATGGTTATACTCAGTCTTCAGACTCAGCCAACTTGGCAAATGAGAGCCAAACTTCCAAGAAGCAAACATTCTGTTCCGACCCCAGTTGCAGACAGACAGATCAACACCTCACTTGCACTTGACAAAGATTTAAGCGAACTGGTCATTTAACTCACGTTTAGGAGCATCTTAAATGAGAATCGTGCGCCAAAGGATGACTGAGTGGCTGTTCTTGACCAGAACTCACCATGCGTGTCCAAAGTGGAGTGTACCTGGGATTTAACTGCTGTCTTACTATCTTCATGACAAACTCCCTAAAAAAGGTTCTCTGTGAGACTTTTTGGGAAAAGCCTTGCCTCATATCTGTGAAGTTTGAATCTGGCAGAGTTTCGCTCTTGGTTGAGATATGATAGCACTGGAGAATGAGTGGGGAATGGATTGAGGAAAGTGGAGAAGGTAGAAAGAAAGAGGTAGAGAACACGAGCGGTGGTGTTCCATCCAGAAGAACAGTGATACCTTTGACATAGTATTATACATGCTTGAGTTATTTGAAAACTAAGTCAGCACCCTCACTTCAGGCTCCATAACGCCTACTTGTCATCTCTCCATGGGCTTAGAAGAGGGAAGCCCAGGTTATGCCCTCCCCCAGTGTCTCAGGTATCGCTCTCCCGCTTTCCTTCACCTCATGTCCTCCAACGTTCATACGTCTCACATCTCTGGCTTCAATAAGCCCTTGAACGGGGCTCGAACAAAACAAAAAGAAACGAGGAAAAACAGCATAAGGTATTTGCCAAAGGAGGACAAGAAGTAAGTGCACGTTTTTAAAGATATTAGCCTGGATTATTTAAATTTAAGCCACTTTCTTTCTGCTTCTATGTCCTTCGTGGTGTCTCTGCAGGGGCCCAGCAGGGAAGCCCTGATTACTTCTCCTCTCAGTTTGGGCACCCCACAGCCCTGCTCACACCACGTGCAATTTATGCTTCCATTGCTGTCCACAAACACGAGCTGGAATTCCTGCTCAGAATTTGATCTGATAACCTCCTGACCACAGAGGCACAGCTTTCACCAGTAATCTAGTTTGTGTTTTTTTTCTGAACATTTGACCTCCAGACCGCCAGCTTCACATTCCCAGCGCAGACATGCAAGAAACAAACCCAAAAGGATTTGACCCAATAATCCTCTGATCATAAAAGGGCGGATTATTCCAGTAAGTCACAGGGCCTCATAGCAAGATATATTCCCACAGTGGTGATACAAAAAAAAAAAATAAAGAGCTATCCAGCCTAAAATTTGCATTTAAAGAGGAACTAATCATCTACATAATTCAATAGTTAAGATGTAAACAAACTCATTCAGAGTGGATTAGTGTGAACTGCTCTGTTCTAGAGAAATTTACAGAGTGGTGGTGATAGAAACCAGGTGTCTGAAGAGTTTAAAGCCTCTAAAAGCTCCATCACAGAACGTTACTACATGAAATTATGAATACGCTGCCTGATGTCTGAGAAATTGTTCTACGAGTTTTGTGATAAAGTTTTGCCGTAAAACCTATTATTAATTCATTTGTTTAAATCCATTCATGGTGGAGGGATACATGCAGGGTGTTGTAAGGCAAAATAGTCCCCAAAGAAAATGTATTTTCTCAGATTTGCCACTATTTTACCATCATCAACATTCCATGTAAAAACTAAAAAGACACATGTAGGTTCACTGGTGATTTTGGATAAAAATAATATGGTTATATATAATTATAGAATTTATGTTGTAGACATGGCAAATCTGAGTCTGTAACTTTCTCTACAACTAATTTCTCTACAGTTTTACCTTAAACCACTTTGAATGACTTTGTTTACATGCCAACAAAGGAATTATACAAACATTTTGGAATTCCCTTTTAATACATTATTTGTCATGTTATGCAGTATTATGTGTCAACCTCGTTAGTTTGACAGAATATACCATTTTCTTTCATTATAACAATTTGGAATTCCTGCAGTGCTCAACCAATCCTGACTGCTAGCCTAGCCACTGAGCTATAGGCTAATAAATACAACCAAGCTAGCATTAGTGTAACTTTTACCTCCACCACTGAGCAAGATGCAGTAAAGCTGGATGTGGAATCTAAACTCTAA